AAAAGTTTTCATAGACTTTTATGTAATTGTTTGACTTTTATTTTAAAAAAAAATCTTCTATATGACTTATTGTAGATCCTTTCGAACTGTTGCTTGAACAAATGATTCACAACAATATCAAAATATATTTCTTGTGTGAATAAAAATATATTTCAAGAATAAAAAATAAACAAGCAAAATAATTTTTTTACAAGACTAGTCTTGCTCGGGCTTGATTATTTTGAAAGTAATATTAGTGTGTTAATGTGACGTTTAAGTTTTGGTTCTTGGTGTTTATATTGTTTTTTTTGTCATTAGTTGTGCAAGGTAGCAGCTTTTATAAAGCATTAAATAATTAACTGTGCCCATAGAACATAAGTCGAAAAGCCTCAAGGATAATATACACCAACAAAGTGAAAACATAACTTGGAAGGATTCAATTGCACAAACCCACAAATCTTTTAGTTTAATTCCAGCAACAACTAACACCAATAGCTGCTTCTCTGAGAGGGGCGCCTTTAACTGCAAATATGTTAGGCTATTCAAAGCAACATCTAAGAAATCATCTTCTAAAATGTTCAGTGAATGAATTACAAAAAAGTTGGAAAAGGAACCAGAAGCAAACAAAGATTTGCTAGATTTTTCTCAATAGATTATTTTGAATTTTATGATGAGCACGAACAAATGCATTTCTATCATGGATACTCAGCAATTAATTCAAGTAAACCACAACATCCACTATCCACAGACTGAATGTCTTACTTGTATAGTATTCAAACAACCAATAACTCTAAAAAAGACTGATTGAAATTGATGTTGCCAACTTTTAATTTTTGGTCCATTTGATTCGGGAGGTAAAATCAATGGAACTTCTTCTGGCAGTGACTCTGATGAAAAATAATCCTTCATGTTGATGTCCTTGTGATTCACTTCAAAATTTTTATGATCAATGTCTACTACTTTGCTTCTTCCCATCTAATAAGCTAAAACCATGTGGTGCTTTTGCATGAGTAATGGTATTTTCTGTTCATTTGGAGCCTTACTTTTCTGTGTTATTATTCAAATATATTAGTGATTAAAAAAAAAATTCACGAGCTAGAAACAAGTATCAAAGTCCAACCTTTGCATGGTTCCAACGCTGAATGAAGTGCCGGGCAATGTCCCTACAAGGTGGTCCCCAAAGAGTACAATGAACATTGTGCCGTGGCATACGAGGATATTTCTCTTGATTGAATTCATCTTTCACAACATTTTCCCAAGAATTTGGTTTCGATTCTCTATAAAATTTAAAGGAGTCAATACATTTATCAAACACTAGAGTGCTCTACATATCTTCTACCTATTCCGAAGAAAATCAAGCCTCAATCAAAAATATTGATTAACATTATTGGCTTTTAGTTACTTACCTAGTAGGTCTATTTGTGGGACGATACTACGATTTCTCTATTTAGGATATGTTTTATATCCACCATCGAAATTTGTAATATATGGTCCAAGAACCACTAAATTGAAAACAGATGTAGTATTGTGATCAAATCCATTAACCAATCGAAGTTCGACTACCGAGATGTTGAAATAAAATATCTCATATATTCCAATTGATCAAAATTTATTATTAATTCCAAGTTTCAATAGTTGCCTACAGATCTTGCACATCTTAATGAAAAAAAATATGTACCTTGGATTATAGTACACCGGGCCACCTTCGTTTTTGCTAAGTGTCAAATTGTTGAAATATTAATGCATAATTTTAAAATTTGATATTTTATTTGCGTGAAAAGCCGAAGAGGTGGGCTGCATATATACAACAGGAAGGAGAGAGAAAAGGACTTGGAATAGAAACAAGAATAATAGTTTGTGTTCAAAATTGGGACATTAACAGGAAGCACTAAAATCATCGCAATTTGTGCTTATAACGTGTTATAAATTAAAAAGAAAAAGAAATAACAAAAAAGAGAAACCTACAAGTTTGTGTATTTTATTAAGAGTCAGAGCCCTATATTTATAGGAAATAATTAGGATTATTAGGAATACAACAGTCATAATGACTAGAGCTACAAGGATATTAATATCATTCATAAATATTATTATATTTACAAAAATAAAAATCTAAATTGAATACATTTATACTTTTCGTCATGTCTCTAAAAATCTCTATTGAATACACTCACCTAGATGGTGTTTCTACTAAAAAAAGTGCAAGTCGTCCTCAAATTTAATTAAATTTATTTACGGCAAAACATATCCAAAGAAAATAAAGCAAAATATTTTTTCCTTTTTTAAAAAAATGAAAATTCGTCTAAGCTTAGAGGGAGTTATCTGGCTCCTTCTCGAACGAAGTAGAATTGCATTTCAAAAAGTGGAGAACAAAACCTTGCCCTTATTATGATGATATGGAGGCTATCTTTGCAAATAACTCTACTATAGGAGACTGCGTTGTAACCAGTGGCGAACGCAGAAATTTTGATTTAGTGGGGCACTGTCGAACTTAGCAAAAAGGTGATGAAAAAATTTAAATATTTGATATCTTATTACAGCCACTGGTTGTAACCAGCAATGACAATTTATCCCCCATTCATGGTATGTAAGAGATCATAAATAAAAAAAAAATATATTATATAATTCATATTATATGAAAGATTCTAACAAGTTATTTTTTCAATTATTTTTTTAGATGAAAATATGAATGTAGTCGATGGTCAAAATGAGGATATAGATCCAAGCCCAATTCGCACTCCTAAACATAATGTCGAAGGAGAAACCAATAAAATTTGATGACGACATACCCAACCCAATGATGAGAGTCTCATTCCCCTATCAAGCATTGCTGAAACGTCTAAAAATATTGCTAATGCTATGGAGATTCAAGTAATATTAAATACGCTAAACCATATCAATTGGCAATTGGTTCTAAAAAAATTACAAGGCATGAACATAGAGAAATGTGACATAATGCAACTCATGAAAGTATTTCGATTGGACGAGAGGCTGGCTAGAATATTTATGAGCTTGACTGATAAAGAATTCATGCATGATTTGGTCATTGACTATCTTGGTCGTGATATGCCTCCACTACTTTGAGATGTCGTGGTTGGATAAATCAACAAACATATGTAAAAGTACGATATTTACGTTGGTTTAAATTGCTATTTTCTTGTAATAGAGATTTTTTTGTTTTTACTTTTTGTTCTTAAATTTTATGCTAGAAATAATCTTATCATTCTTTATTTGATTATCGGATAATTACCTTTCATGGGAATGAAAAATAATTGATTCTCGTACATGACTATAAATCTGAATTGGTGAGGTTGTTTTCATTATTTGTTATAAATTTTATTATTTTCTATAACGTTGTTGTTGAAATACTTCTTCAATAATAATAATAATAATAATAATAATAATAAAAAATAAATAAATAAATAAATAAATAATCATAGTGAACATGCAATATTATTTAAGGAGACGTCTTTAATTGAGATTGTGATGGATTTTAAAAATCCATCTAAATTTATGTGTACTCAATTGAGATTGTACCGGATTTTAATGAAATATATTAAAAATTAGGTGTTCCCAATTAAGATTTTAATGGAATTCAATAAAATTCTTTAAAATTTAGATATCCACAATAATTAGTAGATTTATAAATATTTCATTAATAGAGGGATCTTAAAAGATCTGGATGAATTTTAAGCTTAAAAATACATCTAACCAAATCTTTTGAAATTTCACCATTTATGATGAAATTCTTATTGAATTTGTGGAAGTCTATTCAAATTCATGAAATTCATTTAGATTTATAATCGTTTAAAATCCATCAAAATCAAAGTTGGGAATTGCGAAGGGGCCATTGTTTAATCCTTCAAAAAATTGATTGACTAATCCTCATGGAAGAAATGACAATTTCCGTGGGAAATGGGATAATTTATGTGGAAAATAATGGAGGTCAAACAACTAAAGTTGGAAAAAATGATTATTTCCCTGGAAAATAATGACTATGAAATACCAAAGTTAGAAAAATACAATATTTTCAAGATAGAAAATTAAGTCAATCAAATACGTGTAATTAACAATTTTCATGTAAATAATTTCTAGACAATTGGATTGCTTAGAAGCTATTTTTTTCCATACAAATTACATGCTCGCAATCTAACGCTCCTTAAAATTACTTAAATACAAAAGTATGTTGTAGAATAAATATTTTCATGGTTAAAATTGAAATTAAATTATTTATTTTGAGAAGTCGAAGAATGTTCAAAACTTCCCAACTTTGTTGCTTTTCTTTATTTTCTATTGGCCTTTTCTTGACAATCTTATTTATGCATGTGTGCAAAAAATGATGGATAAAATCTGTTTTGTGTTTTTAGATTTTAGCAATGTTTTAAAAATATTAATCCGAAAAAGTAGAACACCAATTATAAATAATATAAAAAATTCAACGAAATCAGAGTTCAATAAAATTAATTAAATACATATATTTTGTATTAGGAAACAAATCTATTTAATACATGTGTTTGGAAATAAATTTATTTCCAAGAAAAACAAAAAACAAAACAAAACAAAAGATTTAACAAATTTGAAATTAGCAAGGAAACCGGAAAGACTACGTAACTCACTAGGATTCAAATTCCCTTGATGAAATATCATCAAAATCTTTTTTTATATATAAACAGTAGAAACATTAAACCCTAGAAATTTGCAGTAAACCCTAGAAATTAATCATCATGAGTTTTTCAAATACCTCAGTAATATATCCATTACTTTTTCTCGTTCTCTTCTTTTATTGCCTCAACAATCAATTTCATTTTCTGCAGCCTTTTTCTTCTTCCCGTTCACTAATTTCCAGTCACAAGAACCAGGATCAGGTACGAGTTATTGAGATTTTAAGGTAGATGAGAGTCACTGAACAAGTTCGTCAGAGCTCTATTACGGATATTTTCGATGTCGAAATTTGTATATAGTTTCTATGTTTTCCTGTTTCTGTGAATGATATTATTTTTTATTTTGAGGTTTAGAAAATTAATGGCAGTATCGAGTTCGAGCCATTGGAAGAAGGGTTGTCACGAGCACGGGCAGCTATACGTGAAGCCAGTCGACGACGAACCTATATAGCTTATAAGAATGAGAGTTTCATTCCCAGAGGTCCCATATACAGAAACCCTTATGCTTTTCACCAGTTAAGCAAAGCACTATCTCCCTTTATTATTTTTCTTCCGCAAATTTGTCAAACCCACTTATAATTTCTTGTTTAATTAATTTCAGATGGGATTAATTAAGATGAAGAATTATGTATTTTCTTTCTTTAGATTCTTTAAATTGTTAAAAATTGCATGCACCATATTACAATTACTTTTAAATCATATTGCAATATGTAAATCGTATTATATAACTGCCCGGTCTTCGGCCCAAGCCGTATGGGATAGATACTCGTACGGACAATTCCGAGTCTAAGTATTTGGAATCATACTAAATGTATGGGGGGGTTTATCAGGCAGTTTGACATAATATCAGGTGATCTATTCAAATTTTTTTTTGTCCAACATCGAATGTGGTGCCGTCACTTAACATTTTACTTGGAAAACCACCGTATACAAAGGGCTTAACTAAAGTATTTGTGTGTACTTATATATAATTAATTATTATTATTATTATTTTATTTTATTATTATTATTATTATTTTGTTTTTTTGTTTTTACCTTAGGTTGTATTCTTTGACGATTCACTTTTTATTTTTTGTTAGTTTAAAACATTGTATTTTCTCAATAATTGACGTTCTTGTTGGACTTGTATCCAAGATTATATCTTTGCTAAATAATAATCTAATTATACATCAATTTTGCAATATGTAACTTGATAGATCATCTATAAGCATGCACAGTACGTCATACTAATAGAATTGACAATTATTTTAACTTTTTTCGTCCTTAAATATTGTGTCTAATCTTGTTGAAAAATTATAGAAATTAATTGCACCTGATTTGCTAAACATAATCCATGACTACGATACACTAGGAGCCACATAGAGATGGAGAAGAGGTTCAAAGTGTGGGTATACAAGGAAGGAGAACCACCATTGTTTCACAGAGGACACTTGAAAGATATTTATGCTATTGAAGGCCACTTTATCGACGAATTAGAGAATGGAAAGAGTCCGTTTCTAGCGCGCCACCCTGAGGAGGCGCACGCCTTCTTCCTCCCCGTTGGCATTGCAATGATTATTCGATATCTATACAGTCCCCGACTGGATTATGACCGCTGGCGCCTCCAACACGTCGTTACTGATTACATAAGCGTTGTATCGAATAGATATCCATACTGGAACAGAAGCACTGGAGCTGATCATTTCTTTGTCGGCTGTCATGACTGGGTAAGATTAAACTCTCTGTGTACCACACGAAAAAAGAAAATGAAGTTAAAATCTTGTTTCTTATACAGTTCCAAAATGTTTCATGAGATGGATTGAAGCTTTATTCTTTATATTTCAGGGACCAGATGTTACCACTGCCAATCCTAAGTTGTACGAAAACCTTATCAGAGTATTATGCAATGCCAACGTTACTGAAGGTTTCCAGCCAGCAAGAGATGTATCATTGCCCGAGATTAAAGTCCCTTCGCCAGAGTTGGGACCGCCCGATGTCGGGCAGGCCTCCAACGATCATCGTCCAATCTTTGCTTTCTTCGCCGGAGGACCTCATGGTCACGTGAGACGAACATTGTTCGAGTACTGGAAAGACAAGGATTCAGACATTCAAGTCCATGAATACCTACCGAAAAATGTAAGTTATTTTGAATCATTGGGTCAGGCCAAGTTTTGCCTGTGTCCGAGCGGATGGGAGGTGGCAAGTCCGAGGTTGATCGAATCCATGCACGCTGGATGTGTACCTGTGATCATTTCCGATGGCTACGCTCTGCCATTTAGTGATGTTCTTGACTGGAGCAAATTTTCCGTTCATATTCCGGTGGCTCAGATACCGGAGATTAAGACAATCTTGGAAGGGATTTCCACAGACGACTACTTGAAAATGCAGAAGCTAGTTTTGCAAGTGAAAAGACACTTCATTCTTCATCGACCGGCTCAACCATTTGATTTGTTATATATGATTCTTCATTCGTTGTGGCTAAGAAGGCTTAATATCAGATTAAGATTGTAATTTGCCACATTGTTGTAATTAGAGAGTACAATTTTATTTTATTTTTTCATTTTTCCCAGAAAAGTAAAAATGTACTCCTCACCCCTTCTCTCTTTTTTTCCCCGTCAACAAATGGCCCCAGTAGCAAGGTCGGCCGGTGGCACGGAGCTTATTTTTTATTATTATTATTATTATTATTATTATTATTATTATTATATATTTTTTTCATGTTTGATATCAATATCAATGCAAATTGAAGCACACATTGTAAAAGATAAAAGAAGTAATGAATCAGATGGAAATATAAGCTCTAAAGTGCCTTGAAAAGATTGAGGGAAAGAAATAACTCAAATATGCATTAGCTGCAAGTGCTACTGGGGTTCAGGTGCTTGTTACCATGCATCCGTGAACAACTGCATAAACTCTTCCCCAACAAGCACTCCAAAAGTCCTCTCTACTAAGCCAAAATCCCATATAATCCAATTGAAAATGAAGCCTCCATTTTATCATGTTACCAAGGTCCTAATAGATGAATCTAGTCCACATCTAAATGTCTCTATCCCATTCAAGAATGATCGAACCAGGGTCTCACTTCACCATTCACATGCCCATTGCTGTGGATCCCAACTCTGTTTTGGTCAAGAGGAAGCAACCCAACAGCCATTGGAGGTGGAGCAATAGGGTATGACCCGTGAGTGTGTGCAAGGTTGTTGGGACTTACAGGAGGACTGCCAACTGGACTTCCTTTGAGCTGTTGGCTGGTATGAATCTGCCGCAGTCCTTAATGAATGCGTGGTATTGTCTCCAGCTCCTTCATCGACAAAGCTTCCAATCCAGCACCATACAGAGGAGCATGCCTTGACATTTCTTCCTGAAGTTGAGCCTCGACGTGATGGACGTCTTGCTACCAGAGAATGGGAACACTTCAGCATCAGCAATAAATAAAATTATTGACAACTCAGATTTCTAAGTACTAGGAACTTTAGAATTTCAAGTCGTTAGCTCAGACGAAGTCCATAATATTAATCAAAGTTAATTAACAGCTCACTATTAAAACTGTGTGCAAGCCCATTATTGGTCAATGTAAAGCAGTTAAAATCGAACAAACAATAAAAAATACAAGAAGCTAAGGGACTAGATCTGTTGTCATTTAGTATATCCAAAACATAAGTAAAAGAACAACTAGGACACAGATCTATCCAGAAAGGGGAAAAAACCACTTGAAAGAGCAAGTGTTAGTGCTAAACGGAAGAGAGTAAAATAAGCGAATCACCGAAAGGATAACTGAACTTTCCTTTTTCTAGTTGTAACTAATTTTGAAGAATCATCCTAGGATGATTAAGGCTTTTCATTCTCAAATTATTTCATTGGAAAAGAATTTAACGAGATTGGCGTTTAAATTAGAAACTTTTATTCATTTTGTCACTTAATAAAGGTGCTAAAAGGTAAAGGTACTAAACTGAGGAGACACCAAATATGAAAGGTAGCATCAAAAGTAATGACCTCGCAAGCCTGCAATTTGGATTCCATCCCATCAATATACGCCTCACACTGAGCAACATGTTTCTCCTTCTGGCATATCGTTTCAATTCTTCATCAAATCTTTTACGTGCTGCATCAGCGCTCTTTAAACTCTCGGTAAGAGCATTTTTCTCCTTCATTACCCTCTGTAGCATACACAAATTGTTGTCAAGCAAAGCATCAAATAAACAATAGTCAGAATTCACGACTATTCAAACATTAAGACTTCTTATGAATATCAAACTAAAGGAAGGATAAAGATGATGGGTCCTCTAATTATCATGTTTGAATAGAATAAGAAATTTATTAGACCTGCATCACTTCAGATTTCAGCAAGAAAGTTTTTTAATCTAAGAACCACATATTTTGAAGAAATAACAAGCCTTATCAACTTTTGAACAAAGTTTCTTTAGAATCTTGGACAATCATGCATGGCAAAATTAATATAACTCTCAAAATTGTGTGGATTTGATTTCTATTCAAAACCATATTGCATTCATTAGTCCCATAAAAATAAAAGTTCAGTATTACACCAACTACAACATAATATATCGAACCTTCAATTCATCATGTTTTCAAGACAGAGCTGTGTCTCTGCGTCATGGACGTGATCTTGAAGTATTTTCCTCTCTGCAACAAGCTTAGAGATTTCACGATCCCTTTATGAGCGAACCCACTCGAGATGACTCTCAACTTCCTGTATCTATTCTATCAGATCCGTTCTTTCCCGAGCAAAATGATCAATGTCAGCCGTCATTTCAAACTGTCATTTGATGTAGTATCAGCAGCAGCAGTGATTTTCTGGGCAAAGACATTTACAGAGGAAGAGAATTACCTTAAGATGGCTATTAGTAGCATCGGATTCGCTCAGCCGTTGCGATAAAATAGCTTTTTCTTTTCAGAAACTTGCAGTTTCAGCTTGTCGTACTTTCTGGATGCGAAGAATCTCATCTTCATTGGCACATAACTGATGCCAAAGAGCTGCCCTATCAAAATTTGGAAGTTCAGCAACCTCCCGCATCATGCTCAAAACCGGTCTAACAACTTCTTGCTTCTCACAAACCAAGTTCACTAAAATCTCCAAACCTAAATCAATTTCACGACTAGCATCTGTAGTACCTGTAGCACAGTCAACAAGCCTCTTTAAGGTCCTTAATATGTAAGGATCATCAGTGTACAATTTGAACTACACGGCATACAGAGTCTTTACAAATCCTTTTACATGCGGGTCTCTAGAGAGTGTCAATGTCTCGGCAAGACCAAGAACCGAGGTGATATCATCTCCTTTGGCTGTCAGTTGCTCACTGGTTTCACTGTCTACAAGTAGATCAGGCTGCTGAAAATTTTTAGCGACATACTGCGATAGGCGTCCCTCAAACACCATGGCTACAGACTGAGGACCAAAGGCCCTAGGTGCAACAGCTCTCTCAAAAGTTTGGGCTGCTTCAACAGCAAGGCAATGAATAGATAACATCTCAATTAGAAGATAAATATCAGAAAAATGACGACTAGCATGGAAAGCTTGCTCTTCCCCTGAAAGCTGTCTTTCAAAAGTAGGCCCATTTTCACAAAACATGGAAAGCCCGATAGGCATTGGTCAGCAATTCTCACCAAAATCATCATCACGGTCAATATCTTGAAGAATAGCTTCAGCTATTTACAGTTTGACTTCAAGACACAGAGAGAAGCTTCAATACCCAACTCCTTTAGCCTGACTCGTACAGACCTGACCTGCAGTGGGAAATTGAAAAAGTTAACAACAGGATCAAAGGAACAAGCAAAGAAAAACAAAAATGGCAACAAATGAAGATAAATTTTATTCTCTTAAAAGATATGTGTGCATACTGCTTCAGGAATATGTCGACAATGCAGTGCAGCTTTGAATATAACATCCACTGTTGCTGCAAGAGGTTCATTATTTGAATCAACTAACAGCACTAATGACTGAAAAAGGGCGCAATCCCATAGTTCACTGCTGCATTCTAACTGACTAGGTGCCCCCAAAAACCTGAGGAAAAAAAACTTCTCAGAGCTCAATTATAAGCTAACTTCTTTGGAATCTTATTCCGGGATGCATTGTATGGTGTATATGGAGAGAACGGAACGATCGATGTTTCGAAGATCAAACAAAAACAACGGAGCAGATAAGAGAATTATTTTACTTGACTTTGTATACTTGGTTTAATGCAGTAGTTAAAAATCCTGTTGTAGAGTTGCCTAATTTCATGTTATTCCTTTCATGCCTTAAATGATTGTATACCTCCCGTGTACTCTCTTTTAAGAAATAAAATTCTCTTATTACCTATAAAAAAAAAAA